TCCTTGGTGTCCCTGGGGGACTGGTTCCCACTGACACCAAAATATGCAGATGAGCCCTAGCTGGTTTGGCTCAGTGGATAGAGCATCGACATGCAGACTTGAGGGTCCTGGGTTCAATTCCAGTCAAAGGCGCATTCCCGGGTTGTGGGCTTGATCCTCATTGGGGGGGCATGCGGGAGGCAGCCAATCAATGATTCTCTTTCATATTGATGTTTCTATCTACCCCTTTCCCTTCCTCTCTGAAATAATATACACACACACACACACACACACACACACCGTATTTTCCGGCGTATAACACGACCCCCCAATTTTACAGTTAACCCTGGACGCACTCACAGTTTACATATGTTTAGGCCTATATTCGCTGTATAAGACTACCCCCCACTTCCGAGGCAACACCAGTTCTTTTTTTAATAGACCGCCTCTCTGACTCTGGCCAATCTGAGCAGGCTTTTTACTAGAACACAGTGTGGCTTTGGGTACAGAACATGTACACTGTGTTCTAGTAAAAAGCCTGCTCAGACTGGCCAGAGTCAGAGAGGCGGTCTATTAAAAAAAGAACTGGTGTTGCCTCGGAAGTGGGGGGTGGTCTTATACAGCGAATATAGGCCTAAACCTATGTTTTAACTGTAAAATTGGGGGGTCGTCTTATACGCCAGAAAATACGGTATATAAATGTGCCAAAAACGGTTTGGCTCAGTGGTAGAGCATCGGTCTGCGGACTGAAGGGTCCCAGGTTCGATTCCGGTCAGGGGCATGTACATTGGTTGCAGGCACATCCCCAGTGGGAGGTGTGCAGGAGGCAGCTGGTCGATGTTTCTTTCTCATTGACATTTCTAGGTCTCTATTTCTCTCCCTTCCTCTCTGTAAAAAATCAATAAAATATATATTTTTTAAAATATGCAGATGCTCAAATCCCTTATATGAAAAGGCATAGAACAATGCATATATTTACTTGGTCCTCTGCATCCACCAGTCCCAACTGCAGATCTGTGGTTGGTTGAATCTGTGGATGTGAAACCTGGGGATACAAAAGGCTGACTGGATATTTAACTGAAAAAAACCACGTATAAGTGGACCTACTGCATATGTTGACTACTCACATAACAAGGACATACACATTCTGATTTAATTTTACAACTCTTAGGAAATAGATGTGCCTGGCTGGTGTGACTCAGTGATTGAGCACCCACCCATGAACCAGGAGGTCACAGATTTGATTCCCATCTTCAGGCTTAATCCCCAATTGTGGCTGGGCGGGGGGTGGTGGTGGGCGGTGGGGTGGTGGTGGAGGTTCAGGAGGCAGCCAATCGATTTTCTCTCATTGATGTTTCTATCCCTCTCCCTCTCCCTCTCCCTTCTCTGAAGTTAATAAAAATACATTTTTTAAAAGATGCTGCACCCATTTTACAGATGAAGAAGCTAAGCTCAATGAGTTTGAGCTTGCTAGTCAGAAGGGAACCAAGACTTCAACCCTAGTGATCATCTTATCCCTAGACCAGTGGTCTTTCTGTTAAACCTTGCTCTCTGTAATGACTTGCATAGTCCCCAGTGGCTGTGAAAAGTTGTACTTTTTTTTATTTAAAAACTACCTAAAAGTTTGAATGTGTGCCCTCTGATTATAATAATCTATTAGTGAAAAAACTCAGCCATTTTCCCCAAACTGATTATTCTGTGTAAGAAGCCCATTCTATACCCTTGGTCATTTTAGGTGCTAAATGTTTGTCTCCTTACCTTTAAGTTTTCTGAGCGGATCACCATTTAGCATATTTTCAAGTATGGGTATATAAAGGTTTTTACAGATAAGTAAGACTATAGTTCTTATTTTAAATGTATTATTATTATTATTAATTATTACTATTACTTTAGAGAGAAACATTAATCAGTCACCTCTACCAGGAATCAAGACTGAAACCGGTGACCTCTTGGTGCATGGGGTAATGCTCAGCCTACTGGGCAACACTGGCCAGGGCAGTAGTTCCTTACCTTTTATTTTTTAAAATATATTTTTATTGATTTCAGAGAGGGAGAGGGAGAGGTAGAAACATCAATGATCGAGAGAGAATCCTTGATCTGATAACTCTTGCACGAACCCCACTGGGGATTGAGCCTGCAACCCAGGCATGTGCCCTGACTGGGAATTGAACTGCGACCTCCTGATTCATAAGTCGATGCTCAGCCACTGAGCCACTGTGTCCGGGCACCTTTTAAAATATTTTTAAATACAGAAAAACATACTTATCTAAATGTTTATTTCCTCCTTTGTAGAGATGTTAGTATTAATTACATCCCTTAGAGTTGCAAGGATTGAGACAATGCATGTATCTGTAAATAGTAAGTACCGTATTCAATAAATTTTAGTCATTACCCCTTAAATACAGGAGTTGGTTTTACTGATATAGTTTAAGTTTAGGCTGTGTTCTCCCACTTATTCTTGGCCACCAGAGGGCACTATTGCCTTTGTCTATTTAGAGAAGTCCTCTCAAGGTCAGGATGACCTCAGTGCTCAGCCTTCTCTCTTGTCCACTTCAGTTCTCAGGCACTTATTGTATCTGGGTCCTAGAACTCACCAATCCTTTTCTCTTAACTTCCTTTTTTACTTGTTTTTGTTTTTTCGATTGATGGATTTTTTTAAATATATTTTTTTGATTTGTTACAGAGAGGAAGGGAGAGAGAGAGAGAGCTAGAAATGTCGATGAGAAACATCGAACAGCTGTCGCTTGCACACCCCCCACTGGGGATGTGCCCACAACCAATGTACATGCTCTTGATCGGAATCGAACCCAGGACCTTTCAGTCCGCAGACTGACGCTCTACCGTTGAGCCAAACTGGTTTCGGCGGATTTTTTTTTTTTTTTTGAGAGAAACATTTATTTGTTGTTTCAATTATTTATGCATTCATTGGTTGCTTCTTATATATGCCCTGACTGGGGATCGAACCCTCAACCTTGCTGTATTGAGACAACACTCTAACCAACTAAGCTACCTGGAAAGGGCTCCCTTAATTTTCTTCCCACCTCCCCAGGTCCTTCCTATCCACTTTCAGAAGAAGACTATAAGCCAGCTCCTGTGACATACCTTTCCGTTCACTTGCTCCTTGGGCTTTCCCTTTGGCCTTATAGCAGTGTCAGGATGAAACAACCTCAAAACAAAGTCCATATAGTCCTCATGACAGTAAAATCCAGGACACTGTGTCAAAGGGCTTAGATCATGACTTTCCCCATCCTCCCTCCAGTCACTAGAGAGCCAGAATAGGTTACCTTGATGGCCACTCAGTATTTATCCCTTTGCTCGCCTCACACTGAAAATGCCTCCTGTCTCTTGGGGCACTGGAGTTCAGTCCTCTGGTCTGCTGGCTAGTCTCTGTGGATAATTAACCAGAGAGAAGAAACAGGGTCAGACTATTCTAGGGTTAAGAGGAAATCCTCTGTGAGATGCTAAATTGGGCTCAAATATTGATCAGTAGAGCTTTGAAGTCACCGCCAGGTAGCAGAGGTTACTGCTCCTCTGGGGCACTGCTTGGCTCATCTTTATTACGTTCTTTCCTAAGACCTACACATGATCCCCAGTCCAGAGGAGCATTGGTTGGTAGGTGTGCAGTTGGGTATGAGGAAACTTGGTAAGAAAAAAAGAATGGTTTTCTGTCTCTTTTCTCAAGTCCAAGCTATAAACTAGGTTCTTTATAAACTCGTAAACTAAGTCTATTGAAACCTGGCTTAGATGGTACTGAGACCTCTGAAACGTGTTATTGCTACGTGAGGAGATAGAGGACTGTTTACTTGGAGCTTAGGTTTGTAGATAAGATGCCCAGGTCCTTGAGTCACTTCCCTTTCTGCCCTTGGGTCAATGACATGAGGCTTTGGGAGGTAGTAAGGTCCTGAGGTCTTGTCTGCCCAGAGGAGTTAGTCAAGAGTGGTGTGGGAGATCACATTAGGGCCATGTGTCACTTAATGGTCTCTGGGGAGCAAGGGATAAGTGGATAAAAGACAGCCAAGTAGGAGATGGGGTACAGAGGCCCAATGGGAGTGATATGACAAAAAAAAAAAAAAAAAAAAGGGGAGGGTGCCTAAAGCCTGATTTTGGATGAGGGTTTTGTCTGCATCTTATGGCTAGAAGTAGAGGGAGCCGGCTTAGGGGGTGAGGTGACTGGAGGAGCAGAGACTCGTGCCCGGGGCCCAGCGGCTCTGGCCTGTGCTGCACACTCCCATATTAAGGGAGCATTTGTAAGACTTGGATTTTCTGGCACTAAATAGAACTGACAGCACAAAGAGCACTGGATATTCAGGCTCCTGACTTTTCTTTCCTTCTTCAGCTCATGGGGGGCGGAGGGGGGGCGGGGGGGAGTCTGTTAGAAAGCTAACTCTGGCATTATGTCACCTCTATGGCCATTAAGTCGTTGACCAAAGACATCCTAGAAAGTCATTGACCAAAGACATCCTAGAAAGAGGCAGGAGTGGGTACTGGTCAGTTGCCGCGCTAATATATTACGGGGCTGGCTTCTGAGGACCTTCCAAGGTCTATGTCCTTGAGGCCTTTCCTCTCATAGTCGCCCAAGAACTAACCCCAAATGTGTCAGGGGCAAGCAAAAAGCCCAAGAGGAAAGTTAACTGAGTTCTCAGGCACATTCTTAGCCACCTACAAGCTGCTCTCCCTCCCGCCCGGATCCACCCTGCGTTAGCCTACCGGGGCGGCCCAATCCTCCCCGCCGCAGCCGCCGTCAGCCAGTCAGGTCCCGCCCCCCTCCGCGCCCGGCCAATGGCCGCGCCCGCGCCCGGTCCCTGGGAGCCGCGGCCGCGGGTTCCGGGCAGGAGGCGGGGCCTAGCCGAGGACCCCGGGCTGGGCGCCGCCGCCGGTTCGTCTACCCTTTCCCTCGGCCGCCTCCTTTCAACCTTGTTCACCCGTCGGCGCGGCGTCTGGTGCAGCGGCGGAGGCTCCCGTTCCTGCCGCAGCTCGCTCCCCGCCCTGCCTCCCCGTCAGATCCCGGCGTTCTCCCGCCAATGGCTTTACTCACTGCGGCCGCCCGGCTCCTCGGAGCCAAGGTGAGCAACTCCAGGAGGGAGCGCAGGGTGGGGCCGACGAGACTGCGGGCCCGCCGGCCCGGGGTCTCCCTCCCCTCCCCACACGCACCCCGGCGCGCCTTAAAGGGGCCCTGCCCCTGGCTGGCCGCCAGGCCCGCCGGGCGCTCCGGAGCCATGTGCGAGGCTGGCCTTCCGGCCCCCGAAGCAGAAGGGAGCGCTGCTCGCCCGCGGCGTGCGGGCTGGGGCGCTCGAGGAGGCCGGACCGTGTGCTGCCCACCCGCCCTTTCATGGTGGGAGGGGGTGGTGCGAGGTCCTGGGAGCAGGACTCGCCTGTAGGGAACCTGGGTGTGTTCCGCCGGAGTTGGGGAAGAGTCTTTTGAGGGAGCGGACGGGGGTGTGTAAGAGGAGTGGCCGGGTGAGCAGATGTGCTGCTCCCTCTGCCTGGGCCGGAGCTGAAGCGGTCGTTAATTCTGGCTTCTGTTTTGTATGGGAGGGTCTGACCCGTTCCTGACTGCCTGCTTTCCATTTCTCCATCCCAATGACTGAAGCCGTTCATGCCCAGTTTCTGCTAGAGGAACGGGCGTCTTTGTCCTTGAGACGCTTCCATGCACCCTGTGTGGCAGGGCTTGGGCCGGGTGCGCCCCTGTAACGTAGGCATGGTTATGGCCTATGATTGGAGACAGAAACAGGAGGACTTTTTCTCCGGACAGCAGGCCGTCAAATGAAAATACTGGGTAGGGTATAGTATTCCCAAGGTCATATGACCAACCCTACTATCTGATCACCTAGGTTTTTTGTTTTTGTTTTTGTTTTTGCTGTTGCTCTTAAGTCTATCTAGGAAACATCCTTCTCATTTGGGGGGGAAGGGGGCTTTACTTGACTATTTTTTTCCCCTTAGTTTTTTAAATTAAATTATTATCTGTGTACATATCTTACCATTGCCCCTCCCCTCCCCATACATACCTTCCCTCCTCAGAGTTGCCTTTTGTTGCCTTTTGGATCATAGGAGTATTGTTGCAGGTGATGGTGCTTTCAATTTCAAGTTGCCGGCACTTTTGTCTCTGGGTTACATGGCCCTTTAAACAGAAGCAGCTGTGCTGAGGGAGTCCCAGCCCGCTAATCCAAGCAGGAACAGTCCCACAAGTGACCTTGAATCCTGTAAAGAATTTATACTTCCTCTTCTGCAGACAGATTGAAGCCGCCAATATCTGAAGTTAGGGGAAGTCTTAGGGTGGTTTTTAGCTTGCTACGGGTTATCTTGCAAGGTTGGCACATGAGATGAAGCCTGTGGGTTTTGCACTGATGGCAGCTGATTATTTGGGAGATACTTGTCTTATTTTGACTGTTGCTTCTCCTGCCAGGGAACGGGGTAAGGGAGCCTCTTGGGACATGAAGCAAGTTCTAGATAGTGTTTTGGCAGGATCGGGAGCACCATAATTAGTTGCAGAGCTGCTAACCCAGACCAGATGGTCTTTCCCTGCAGTGAATTTGAAAAAGGCTTTAGAATTTACCTTTTAAAAATATTTTTAAAATATTTTTGAGGGTCTCTTTAAGGCCCTCAGAAAGCTTTTGGGAAGACAGAATTACATACCTGTAGTATCATTTTTATTTTGTTTACTTTCCTATTGCAGATGGACTTGAGGATCCCAGAAACGTGTAAAAAGAAAGCCATTAGAAGGCTTTTGACCCTTAAAAGTAGCAAAACCTAACGACTCAGATCTGAAAAATTCCTGATCTCTAAGCAGAAAGACCAGGATACCAAGAAGCCTCTCAGCATTGCTAGCACCAGCCTGAGCTTTCCAGATTACCCTGCAGCTTACTTGCTACTCAATTTTATTGTTGCTATGAAAGTAGGCTTTAGAAGGCAAAAATAGTCTGACCTGGGAGAACTGGCCCATACATACCACTTTGATCTTCAAGGTCAGATATAGTTTCACTTTTCTGAGAAGAGATATTTTTAAACTTTGCTAGGAGATACAAATGTTAGTCATTCTGTTGTTTAACCCTCCCCACAATCGTATAATTTAATCAACACCTGAGTTGGAGAGGTAGACTAACTCAGAACCTGGATATTGACTTCTTGCTTATCTAAATGAATTCATACTAAGCAATGGCTTTAGTTTTAGCTGGTGGTGGCTTAGCTTTGTGATGTAAATACTGTCTTTTCTCAGGTGATCTGAGCTGGGAATTGGAATAGGGCCATCAACACACTCTGGACTTTTTTTTTTTTTTTTTTTTGGTAAGAGAAAGAGGAAGGGAGGGAGTGAGAAATCTACTTGTTATTCTGCTTATTTATGCATTCATTGGTTGCTTGTATGCACCCTGACGGGGATTGATACACAACTTGGGTGTATCTGGGCGAACTTTAACTAGCTGAGCTACTCGGCCAGGGCCACTTCTGGACTCCTTTCTTTTTTTTTTTTACTTTATTGATTTTTTTACAGAGAGAAAGGGAGAGAAATAGAGAGTTAGAAACATCGATGAGAGAGAAACACCAATCAGCTACTTCCTGCACACTCCTTATTGGGGATGTGCCCACAACCAAGGTACATGCCCTTGACTAGGAATCAAACCTGAGACCCTTCAGTCTGCAGGCCGACTGAGCCAAAGTGGTGTGCACCACTTCTGGACTCAACGCCAATGTGACTTAGCCAAACCTAGTTATTTACTTATCCATTAAGAATTGCTCCTTCAGCCAAGACCGGTTTGGCTCAATGGATAGAGCGTCGGCTTGGGGACTGAAGGGCCCCGGGTTCGATTCCGGTCAAGGGCATGTACCTTGGTTGCGGGCATATCCCCAGTAGGGGGTGTGCAAGAGGCAGCTGTTCGATGACTCTCTCTCATCGATGTTTCTAACTCTCTATCTCTCTCCCTTCCTCTCTGTACAAAATCAATAAAATATATTAAAAAAAAAAAAAAAAGAATTGCTCCTTCAAGCTAGGATATTGTGTAACTGAGTAAATCAATCCAAGAGTGTTTCTAGATTGTTTCTAGACCTTTTCAAGACACTTAAATTAATACCAATAGTTCCTTTATTGCAGACCTATATCACTGCATAATCTCTCCAGTATAAATCCTAGACTGAAATGGGGTTCAACAAAACTGAGTCATTTTTGTCCTGTGAAATGTTACTTGGGCTTAAAGCCCAAAACTTTTTAAAGCACGTGTTCAAATCTCTGTGCCCTCACTTTGATTATCAACATACCCAAAGTAATGGCAATTCTTTGATTCTTAATAAATGGACCAGAGATGAAAGATGGAGAGTAAAAGCCTCATCATATGCTAGTGGTGGCATGATTGCATCTGTGCTTCATAGTGGCCTTTAGATTGATAGCAGGTAAATGCCTGGGTGTGGGGAGCAAGGTGAAGTAATCAGAGAAGGAAAGGCTGCCATTCCTGGTTCTTAGAAGTGGGCAAAAGGCAGGAAACCAGACACACTAATTCCTTCTGTCCTGTTTCAGTGCTTTATGAGGTAGAGTAGGATGTAACATTTAAATCAGGAGTGAGGCAACTTTATCAATAGATCTTTCCTAGGATCTGACTTGGAATGTCTTTTTCAGTTCTTCCTTCAACTGCCCAAATTCCTTAGATTTGTGTATTTCTTTAATATATATATATACTTTTATTGATTTCAGAAAGGAAGGGAGAGGAAGAAAGAGATAGAAACATCAATGATAAGAAAATAATTGGCCAAGACCGGTTTGGCTCAGTGGAGAGAGCCTCGTCAGGATCGTGTGCCTTGGTTGCAGGCACATCCCCTGGGGGGGAGGGGGGGTGCAGGAGGTGGCTGGTCGGGGTTTCTCTCTCATCGATGTTTCTAGCTCTCTATCCCTCTCCCTTTCCCTCTGTAAAAAAATCAATAAAATTATATTTAGAAAGAAAGAAAGAAAATCATTGATTGGTTGCCTCCTGCACCCCCCTGCTGGGGGTTGAGCCCGCAACCCAGGTATGTATCCTTAACTGGAATCGAACCCGGAACCTTCCGTCCTCAGGTAGACACTATACCCACTGAGCCAAACCAGCTAGGTCAGATTTCTATATTTCTTTTAACATGAGATTATTTTAAAAGGTCTGTAAGTTCACAGTAAACATCATCACCTGGGGTGCTTGTTCAGAACAAGACACATTCATGAATCCTACCTTTAGATTCTGATTCAGCAAAGATGGATTGTTATCTGAAGACTCATATTTTTTTCAAGTACCTTAGTTGACTGAGGGTGCTCAGTGGTCCTTTTCTCTTGAGCCACATGCAGACATTTTTTGCAACATTTTTGGTTAATCCTCACCTGAGGATATTTTTCCATTGATTTTTTTTTTTTTTTAGGGAGAGCTGAAGAGAGAAGGGAAGACAGAAACATCGATGTGAGAGAAATACACTAATTGGTTGCCTCCTGCAGGATCCCTGACCTAGATCCCGGCTGGGGAGGAAGGAGCCTGCAACCAAATTACCTGTCCTTGACCAGAATCAAACCCGGGCCCCTTTGGTCCACAGGCTAATGCTCTATCCACTGAGCCAAACCGGCTAGGGTTATTTTTTGCAACTTTATTGAATGTATATAATCAAACTTGGTGAATATTTGTTTTTGTTTTTTAATTAATGATTATTTTAAAAATTGACTTAAGGGGGGGTAAAAAAAAAAAAGGAAAGAAAGAAAAAAAAAATAAAAATTGACTTAAAAAGTGACTAACCATTTTGGGCTATTAGTGCTAGGTTTGTCTTCCTAGGTCTTTCCCCTCCTCCCCCAAATACCTTAAGGAAAGTTTCTTGTAAATCCCTCTAGCAAAGCATTAGAAGCTAAAACTTGTAAGAACTTCTAGTAGAAGTAAAGGAACAGTTTCTAGTTTCTGAGAGAGATCCTATATACTTTATTCACTAAATATATACACTTAGTGTTACATATAATAAGTAGGGGTTCAGCAAATATTTGTTAAAGAATAGTAAGGATTTCTACTGAAAGTAGAATTAGAACTCTTTTTTTTTTAAAATATATTTTATTGATTTTGTACAGAGAGGAAGGGAG